AGGAGACTTCTAGAGGGAATGAAGAACAAATGCAAGACGTCTCGGCAAAGAGCTTGATACTTGTGTGGATGGACAATGGGGAATCAATGGAGAAGGCATAGACCAGGTGGGAGGCTATTGTCGAGTGACAAAAGTGAGAGATGTGGGACTTGGGGAGAAGTGCTCAGATTTACGATAAATCTTAAAGGTAGAGCTGATGGGAGATGCTGATGTTTAGATGGGAGATTTAAGAAAAAGAGATAGACATGAATAAGTCTTGGGCTTTTTAACTAAACTTTATATTTTGGAATAATTTTAGATTCACAGCAAAGTTGCAAAAATAGCACAGAATTAGCTAAAACCTTTGCTCAGCTTCCCCCAGTGTTAACATCTTACATAACCATGATACAGTTGTCCAGACTAAGATATTAACATTGTATCATTTATTATTATATTAACTACAGACTCTTTTCAGATTTATTCACGGATATCCTTTTTCTATTCTAATAAGATCTACTCAAGGATACCGTGTCGAATTTAGTCATCATGTCTCCTTATTTTCCTCTGTTTTCTCAGTCTTCCCTTGTTTTTTATGGCCATTACTTTTTGAAGAGCATAGTTAGAAGTTCCTCAATTTTAGTTTTCTCTGGTGTTTTCTCATGATTACATGGGGTGTGGAAGAAGAAAGCCACAGGAAATGAAATGCTCTTCTTGTCCAAATATATGAAGGACTAGATGATACCAGCATGCTGGTGATATTAATATTAGTCATTTGGTTAAGATGGTATCTGCCAGGTTTCCCCAATTTATCATTACTTTTTTTCCTTTTCTCATATTCTATTCTTTGGAAACAACTTATTTAAATACAGCTCACACTTAAGGTGGAGGGTAGGGATCGAATTCTACTTCCTGAAGGGGAGAAGTATCTACATTTATTTTTTGGAATACTTGTAAGAAAGATTTGTTCCTTCTCCCCTATTTATTGATGCAGTCATTTATTTACATGAGTATAGACTCATTGATATTCATTTTATTCTTTGTGTTATAATCTAATACTGCCATTATTATTATTATTATTATTTGCTTAAATTATTCCAACTTTGATCATTGAGAGTTCCTTAAGGTTTGTTCTTGTATCCTTTTGACATGCCTGTGCCTGTTCTTTTTTTCTTTCTCTTCCTTTCTTTCCAGTACCATAAGATGCTTCAAGTTCATTTTGTGTTTTCCCTGCCCCAATCCTAGAATTAGCCATTTCTCGAGGAGTTACATTTTCATTATGAGTCACTGGGTAAACAGTGATGTCATTTACTGCACTGGGAAAGACTGGAGGAGGAGGAGGAAGCCTGGAGTATATTATTTTCTTTCTTTCTTTCCCTCCCTTCCTTCCTTTCTTCTTTCCTTCCTTCCTTTGTTTCTTCCTTCTTTCCTTTCTTTCATATTATTATTATTATTATATTAACATGTTAACTTTCAAAAGCATATAAGCCATTCAAGCGGAGATGTGGAATAGGCTGTGGATATAAGAATCTACAGTCCAGAGAAGAGGTTCAAGCTAAAGAGCAAAATTGGGGATTCATAAATAAATGGTGGTATTTAAAGACATAGGACTGGATCTGCTTTTGTAAGAAAGAATCAGGGAAGAAATATCAGACCTCAATCTACTAAAGGATTTTGACATCAGGAAGATTAGAAGAAATTAGGCAAAGAGGTTAAGAAAGGGCAGCAGATGAGGTAGGAGATAAGCCTACTTCGTGCATGGTATCCTAGAAGCCAAGTTAAAAAAAAAAAAAAAAGGAAAGTGATTATCTGATTCAAACTTTCTTGAGAGAAAATTTACCGTTTGGTTTGTCAATATCCGAGTTCACTGCTGACCTTGGGAAGCGCTACTTCAGTGGAGTGGTAAAAATGAAGCCTAATTTGGAGGTGTTCAATATAGAATTGCATCTGAGGAATGGAGAATGCCCTCTCTGGGGAAGTTGCTATAAAATGGAGTTGAGAAATAAAGAGATCAGATGGGGAACTGATGTAAAGGGATTTTTTAATTACGTTTTTAATTTTAATTCCAGAATAGGTAACATACAGTGTAATATTAGTTTCAGATGTACAATATAGTGATTCAACATATACATCACTCAGTGCTCATCAAGATAAGGGTACTCTTAATCTCCTCCACCTATTTCACTCATCTCCCCCCACCTCCCTCTGGCAATCATCTGTTCTCTATAGTCAAGAGTCTGTTTCTTAGTTTCTCTCTCTCTCTTTTCCTTTGCTCGTTTGTTTTGTTTCTTAAATTCCACATGAGTGAAACATATGGTATTTGTCTTTCTCTGACTGACTTATTTCACTTAGCATAATACTCTCTAACTCCATCCATGTTGTAAATGGCAAGATTTCATTCCTTTTTATGGTTGAATTATATTCTACTGTGTATATACACCACATCTTCTTCATCCATTCATTTACTGGTGGACACTTGGGCTGCTTCTATAATTTGGTCATTGTAAATAATGCTGTACATATTAGGGTGCATGTATCCCTTCAAATTAGTGTTTTTGAATTTTTTTTTTGGTAATGAAATTACTGGATTGTAGGATAGTTCTATTTTTAACTTTCTGAGGAACCCCCATACTGTTTTCCACAGTGGCTATACTACTTTGTGTTCCCACCAACAGTGCATGAGGGTTCCTTTCCCCCTCATCCTCGCCAACACTTGTTTTTTCTTGTGTTTTTGACTTTAGTCATTCTGACAGGTGTGAGGTCATATTTCACTGTGGTTTTCATTTGCATTTCCCTGATGATGAATGATGTTGAACATCTTTTCATGTGTCTGTTAGCCATCTGTATGTCTTTTTTGGAGAAATGTCTGTTCATGATTTCTGCCAATTTTTAAATTAGATTGTTCATTTTTTGGATGTTGATTTTATCAGTTTATTTTATTTTTTTAAAAAGATTTTATTTATTTATTTATTTGACAGAGAAAGAGACAGACAGAGAGGGAACACAAGCAGGGGGAATGCGAGAGGGAGAAGCAGGCTTCCCGCTGAGCAGGGAGCCCGATGCGGGACTTGATCACAGGACCCCGTGATCATGACCCAAGCTGAAGGCAGACGCTTAATGATTGAGCCACCCAGGCACCCCAAGTTTTTTAATATATTTTGGATACTAATCCTTTTTTGGATATGTCATTTGCAAATATCTCCTCCTATTTGGTAGGGTGCCTTTTAGTTTTATTGATTGTTTCCTTTGCTGTACTTCTAGAAGTTTTTATTTTGATGTAGTCCCAATAGTTTATTTTTGCTTTTTATATTCTTTGCCTTGTATCTAGAAAAACAGTGCTACAGCTGATGTCAGAGAAATTACTGCTTGTGCCCTCTTCTAGGATTTTTATGGTTTCAGGTCTCACATTTAGGTGTTTAATCTATTTTGAGTTTATTTGTGTGTATAGTGTAAAAAAGTAGTGCTGTTTCCCTCTTTTGTATGTGGCTGTCCAGTTTTCCAAACACGTTTGTTGGAGAGACTGTCTTTTTTCCATTGTATATTCCTTTCCTCTTTTGTTGCAAATTAATTGACCATATAACTGTGGGTTTATTTCTGGATTTTCTATTCTATTCCATTGACCTATGTCTGTTTTTGTGCCAGTGCTACACTGTTTTGATTACTATAGCTTTGTAACATAATTTAAAGTCTAGAATTGTGATATCTCCAGTTCTGTTTTTCTATTTCAAGATTGCTTTGCCTATTGGGGGTCTTTGTGGTTCTATACACATTTAGGATTGTTTGTTCCAGTTTTGTGAAAAATGCTGTTGGTATTTTGGTAAGGATTGCATAAAATGTGTAGATTGTTTTAACAGTACTTGCTCTTCCAACCATGAGCATGGACTGTCTTTCCATTTCTTTGTGTCATCTTCAATTTCTTTCATCAGTGTTTTATAGTTTTCACCTCTTTGGTTAAGTTTATTCCTAGGTATTTTCTTATTATTGGTACAACTGTAAATGGGATTGTTTTCTTAATTTATTTTTCTGCTGCTTCATTATTAGTGTATAGAAATGGAACAGAATTCTGGAACAGATTTCCTACAACTTTATAAAATTCATTTATCAGTTCTGATAGTTTTTTGGTAGAGTCTTTTGGGTTTTCTGTATACAGTATCATGTCATCTGCAAATAGTGAAAGTTTTACTTCTTCCTTGCCAATTTGGATACCTTTTATTTCTTTTCATTGTCTGATTGCTGCAGCTAGGACTTCCAGTACTTTGTTGAATAAAAGGGATTTTTTAAAGTTGGGAGATATTACAACATATTTGCAGACAGATGGGAATAATCTGGTAAAATGGAGGGGGGAATGATGATGCAGGAGCAAGAGGGAATAATTGAAGTAGCAAAGACCTAAAATTGGTGAGAGGAAATAGAATCCAAGAGAAGGGATTGATCTTAGGTGGGAGAGAGGAGTTTCTCCATTATAACAGGATTGAAGGCTGACTATATGGGTATAAATATCAAGAGTATACAAGATACAGGTAAGAAGAGGAAATTGAATTGTTCTTCCAGTTTTCTTAGAAGCAGTATCATAAACTGAGAGAGAGATGGGCAGAAATGTTGGGGAATTGCAAAGAAGTAAAGGTACTTCTGTTAGTGGTGTCAAAGAGTTGAAGCCTATGACCATATATCAATAGTTATGCCCGTAATGCAGTATCCTACATTTTCTCTAGTCATAATCATCTGTTCGGCGACTACGGGTAGTTTCATAGTAGAAAGAGATCTGAATTTAACCAAGTGATTTTTTTTCCTCTTTTTTTTAAAAATTTTATTATGTTATGTTAATCACCATACATTACTTCATTAATTTTTGGTGTAGTGTTCCATGATTCATTGTTTGTGTATAACACCCAGTGCTCCATTCAATATGTGCCCTCTTTAATACCCATCACCAGGCTAACCTATCCCCCCACACCCCTCCCCTCTAGAACCCTCAGTTTGTTTCTCAGAGTCCATAGTCTTTTTTAATCCTGCTGATCTGAAGAGGAGAGAGAAAACTCCTGGAGGTGAGTCTATATGCAAGGATAATCTGCCATGTTGAATAACAGACCCTAAACTGGGAAGTGTGAACATGAGTGGTGGGGAGTGAAAAACGTGTAAAGGTTGAGAAATATTTTTGGTGGTCAAGTGTATGCTCTAAACAACTTGCAACATTTTGTTATAAAGGTTCATTAAGGCTTCCCTATAACCTGCTTGTGCCCTGTGACCGCAGAGCCCGAAACAACTTTTTAATCTCTTTTAATCTGTTTTATCAAGTTTGTACCTCTTCTTGGGTCAATTTCACTAATTGGAAATTTCCTAGAAAATTATATAATTCTTTAGGTTTTAAAGTTTTTACCTAAATTTTCACCTAGATTTTCTTATAATTCTTGCAAATTTCCCATAATTATCGTTATGTTTTCTCCCACGTGTTAAATAGAGATCCATCTGAACAATTCTAGAGAAATATGTGTAAAATTTTGAGCACAGCTGATTGAGTGGAAGAATCCCATGGTGACTACCTGATACATAAACAGCCTAATTAGGACTGATTAATTTGTTTCAGTAACTCTTGTCCACTTTACTGAAATGGAATGACTAAGTGCTCTCATTTTAGAAAGCTTTCTTGGTCATGTGATACTACTTTATTATAGTTCAACACATGTTAGGAAGACACAGAAATTCATTTTTTGTGGTTTGGTAAATGAGTAGATGCTGTTTGTATTTTGATAACTGCACTTCCACATGTGTGTGAAGTTACAAAATTAGAGTGATCTTGTTACTTAAGAAAGAATTCTAAATAGAATCAATGTGACTGTCAGTGGGATTTTATTCTTTTAGAAAGATAGCGTCAAACTTTACATGGCAGATTGGTCTTTCCTGCTAGATTCTTTTGCCCTAGGCCCTTTGTTTCTGTCAGGAAGCTGTCTTTCAGAGAGAATGATGCTTTTGCCGGTGGCAGGCATATTAATTATGCAATACTATATTTTAAGATGCAGTTGCAAATGCAATTAAACTACTGTACTGAACTTATAAGTCTTATTATCACCTTAGAAATAGTGAACAGCAAATTCACATTTCCTCACTTCTGTTCACAAAGTGACCTTTCCTTTTGACATACTGAAACTGATACGAAGCAGGCTTCCAGACATGCAGAAATGGTCAGCTTGGGGATCTCAAATTCTGTGATCTTCAGAGAAACAAGTTTATTCTCAAAATCTTGGCATTTGCAAGAGATTTTTTTTTAAAAGACAGCAACAAGAGTGTCTTAAGCAAGTTGTATTTCCTTATAGTTAATCAATGAATCATCCATTAAAAATAATACAAGCTGATCTGATAGCTCAGTCAAGGCTACCACTGAGATGTGCCTTCAGTAACCTCAGTGAAGTCTAGCATGCCTATTGATTAAAACATGCCAACAAGAGCTTTGTGCCTCACCGACCTACTAAAGGTGCCCTTTAGAGAAAATGTTGACAAACACGGGAGAGTGCTTTTACCCTTGCCACTACAAACAGCTGCTGGGATTTGTAGGATTGCTTGCAGTAATGTCCCTGGGCAACTAGGAAGTCAAGGAACCGGACACAAGGAGAGGTGGTATTCCCCATTCCCTCTAGCTTCGCAAGACTGCAGAAATTTCTAAAAGTGAAAAACTGGGTCTCAGGGAATTTCTTAATCGAATCCCAGATATTAGAAAAGACCAGATATGAACCATGAATGTTAGGTGCACATTCCTAAATGATAACATAGGTTTATGTCAATATTACTTTTCATAGAACTTATAATCCTAAACCAGGATTCTTTACATGAGTACCACAAAAATTTATGAAGACAAATGATGGTGCATTTACATTAGTGTGTACATGTATACATTACATACATTCGTGTACATGTTCCTAGTCTTCCATAAATTTCGCTCTCCTTGAATATTTTACTTAGTGCCTAGGATGGTTATATTCATCCACAAATCAGTCCCGATGTCACTTGTCACTGCTAAGGCCATCCATAGGACTGGGATCCCACTCAAGTACAACTTTAACAGGCTATGCTAGGGGTATGCATCTTAGGTCGTGATTACTTCATAGACATAGGATTCCAGGAAAATGGCAGTCCCCACCAATCTTGTGTACATCACCACTGTTGTGCCCAGAGGGTTTGCAGAGGAAGAATAACAGCCCCTAGATCTTTCTGAGATACATTACCTAGAGATTATTCCTTTACAAAGTTGCCTGGGTCTCAGAGTGAGTTCTATTGATCTGTAGATCTTAGCACAACTCTTCAAATTCTCTCTCTCTCAGTAAGTGTACCCACACTTGCTCACAGTCTCATACAGCCCATGTCCCCAAGTCACATCCAGAGAACCAAGCTGCTGGGTTGGAATGGTTTTCAGCAATAACTACTGCACATTGCCCCAGAACTAGCACGATCCTCAGATGCCCAATCTTGGGAATTTGCATTGAAAATTACTTGTTCTTCCAGAATTATTTTTCCTTTGTGATGGACTCCTCCCAGGGGCTCGACTGGCCTCAGTTTGGGTCAACCCTGTCCATCAAATATATGTTTATGTATTTGACTTTCAAACAGGTCAGAGTTTGGGTTCCTTTTTTCCATTATCAAGGGTCCTTTGGCCTCTATCTAAATTACAGGATAATTGCAGGTATGTAAATAGACTACCCTCAATGTCTATAAAAAGTCTTTTATTTATTTGATTTGAAAATACAGTTATGTTTTCAATTCCAATTTTAACAATCAGCAGTCAAAAAGTATTTCATCTCTTACTTCAGGTTTAGCTACATGTCAAATATATGGCAGTTTTCATATTTATAAAATAGAGAGACTGAACTAGATAGCAGTTTCCCCATTTTTTTAAATAACAGTAAAAACTTTTTATTTTTAGGATAACATCTTAAACAATACCTCACTAGGTAAAAGTGACATTTAAATAATATGGAATTCATTAACAAGAAAATTTGAGTTGAGATTATGAATGACATTTATAGACATATTCAACTCAGCATCTAACTTATTTTTGGTATTTTTTTTAATTGCAAATAATTTGTAAAATCTTTATTCAGTGGATATATTACAAACAGGTAGAGAGATCTGTTAATATACTTGCTTATTGGTTTTTAATTGCTTGACCTGCAATCTTAGGATATGTACATGTCATTAACAGAGAAGACAGAAAAAGTTATATTCTGAAATATTCCTCAAAATGAGTGTAACAGGTGATACAAGAGATTGTTTCAGTGGTCTTTAGTATGTCATCATTTGAGGGTATAATGTTCTCAACAGAGTTTAAGATATTTAAAATTATATTTAAAACTGAATTTTGAATCAATCTCTCCAAAATTTCTCAAGTTCTTCTGCTGAATCTGGAATTCCTCAGAACCAAACTAGACTCAGTAACCTCTAGTTAGCTCTATAATTGCAACTATAATTTGATAACATTTGTGAGTGAGTACCACGGATATTCTAGTCTGCTCTAAATCCATGTATAATGTAGATGTACATAAAGTTAAAGGAAGAAAGAGGCTCTCAGAGACACACTGTTCCTGAGAACTTTTTTTTTTTCCTTAAAGATTTTGATGTTTTAAGCTTGTCTGAACAACATTCACTCACTTTGTTTGCTCAGGCTATTTCTTCATTCAAGTAACTCATGTATAGTATTTCTACACTACCTATTGTTACTGGCCATAGTCTATGATGGTTCATTTCTGGCTGTTGTGGAAATAATAAATGAACCACCCTTCACAAACTTCTCTATCCCATCTTTAAGGAAAACTTTTACATTTGTATCTGACATAATGATTTACTTGAATATTTTAGAAGGGAAAGTTCATTAATTCTTTAGAGAAAGTGATTATGTACATTTTAGTTTGAGAAAAATACTAGTGTATAATAATAGTGAGGATTTCATCACCTTTTAAAATTATTGCACTAATCACTTTGAATTATGGCACTGTAATTTTAAAAATAAGATTTTTCTTAAGGTCATGTTTATTTTAAAGAATGATTTGTCTAAATTATTTTCTTAAAGCCTAAGATATCTTAAAACCAGGACATATAAATGTTTGAGTTAATTTTATTATTAAATAGTTTCCTTTAAGCAAATCAAAAAACATAATAAACATTCATTGTGATTGCTACCAATTATATAGCTATGACATTTTGGATGATTTTCCTGGATTTTTGTGTGTCTTGAAGATATGAATCCCCTGGAAACCAGAAAGTTATTGAAATCTAGTGTAATGCTGATTAATAAGATGGAATGGCTTGAACTTCTTGTGCATAGTAGTTATTTGTTTATTGATTAGAAATTTGCTATATTCTTCTAGGATGGATATTCTTTCTGCTAAATTATATACAGTGTGATTAATTAGTTCTATATTTAATGCTTTGTTTATATTCTAGGATTCCTACTGATTTTCCTGTGTCACATTATATTTATACTATGTAGTTAGCTTTACTTTTTGCAAATATAACCTTATGTGACATATTGAGACATGTTTTCTTTTTTAAGGAAAAAATAAGGAGATGTCAACAGACTGAAAAGATGTTTTCAGAAGCATAGAGTCTTCAGAAAGATACTGGAGTTCATGAGATCTCAAGGTTAGCAGTTCACACATTATTATTTTCATGCTTTTATAGATCTGAGATATAAACTGCTCCAAGTTGTTCCTGCTAATGTGTAATTGGATGCTAAGGACACATGTTTACTTAAAATACATATTTTAACAAGATCTCTTCAAAATTTTTTTAAAAATTCATTTATACCAGAAATATAATATTTAGTTCACTTGGGAATGGTTAAAAGAAAATATTGTTTCAGTAGAAAACCATTGGTTATTAAAATTTGCTTTGCTTTTTATAAAGGGCAGCACTGTTAAAATAAAAATAAATAAATATTAGGCATCTTTATAAAATTTTATTTCTGATTTGTTAAGAAATGTATACCTACTCTGCAAATTTTTCATTTATTTTGTATCTTTGGCTGCAACATATAGCATGTGCACAAATAGTTTAGAAGGATAGCTGATCATCAATCTTTCTACAATCCTTTGAATCCTACTCCCTGACTTTCCCTAAGTACAATCAAATAAATTATGCTTTTGTTGGAAAATGTGGTCTTAATAAAATGACAATTCATATGAATGAGCAGAAGAATATTTGAGGACCTTTTCTATGTTGTTTAGAGTCCTAAGTCTGGAAAAGCAAAGCAAAATAAAACAGCTTATTAAACAACTTATTATAATAATAGCCTACCATAAAATATTCATTTGGAAGTTTGAATTACAGTGTAGGTTGAAATAGTTTATTCTCATGGGATAGCTTGAGAAAGTGGATGATTTCTACCTTCTTTACTTTGTGGGACCCAATATCAAATATTCATAATTTAAAATGAAAAAGTATTGATGATCTTTTATTTTGATTGCCTTGGTCAGGCTTGTCTTCTACATCTTCTACATCTTTTCCTCATTCATCCAAGGGTATATTCATTCAAAATTTATTTAGTACTTACCATATGCATGGCAATGGGCTAAGTGCTTTGGTTGTTTCAAAATGAATAAGATATGGTTCCTGTTCTCAAGAATTGCCCCACCAATATGTTACTCAGAAATTAATTTTATTATTAACACAAGCAACAGATAATTAAAAAGACAAGCCAGATTTAAAAGGGCATGTAATGAATTCTAAAATGCAATGAGAATTATATGGGGATTATTCATATTTTCACATTATGGCTTTTATTAACCTAGCATAGTGAAGGTTTATACCAATGGGAGTGTTGTTACTCTATTACAACCCACACCCGATTGACGTTTTATGAAGTAGCTCTTTAAGTGCAACACAAGTAATATGAAATTTCTAAAAAGAAGCTTCTCTTTTGCCACAACTACAAATTTAATGTTGTAGGAAGTCGTTAATGCAAACACCTATGAAAAGAACAAAGGTGAGCATTGCCTACTTGGTGTTCTTTATTTTTATTCCAATACATTTAACTTCTTTATTAAGCTCACCAGAGAATTAAATCATTTCCCCAATGACCTAGAAAGGCATGTATGTAGGCTTGAAAAGGATTGAACGCTATAAACCTCTAAGGGATCCACATGCAAATAGTAGCTGGATGAGTAAAGAATTTGCAGTGGTGTGGGAGTCCAGACTGCTTGAAATGGCACTGCATGCTTCTCATGAAAAGCATTTAAGAAGGGGATAACTGAAGAAGTTAAAACAGATCAAGTCATTAAAAACAGTAAAATTGTTTTTTGAAAAGTCAGTGAAGACCTCTCTTGCTTAATTGTGCCATTAGACAAGTGGTTAGATTAATTTACATAACAACTACAATTATTCAACAAATATTTATTTATCTAGTACCTACTATGTGCATGGGAGCAGCAGTGAATAAAATACACCAATATCCTTGCCTCCGTGGAAATTATATTCTAGAGGGTGAAAATATATAAGCAATAAAAAAATTAATTATATATTATGTTAGGTGGTTAGAGTGCTATAAGGGAAAGGGAATAGAGAATGTAGAGGGATGAAATTTTAAAATAAGCCTAATGACTTAGTACTGCATAATTTACACAAAAGAGATAGATACTACCTTTGCCCAAATAGTGCCAACTTTTCTGAAAATGAATGTGATGAAATACAATGCCTACTGTTAAGTTTTCTAAATCATCATTTTTAAAGTAAATGTTGTTAATGTATATAAAATAACTAGTGCTTGTCTTCCTTAATTTCAGCAGAAGGAAAGGATGTATTTTTAAAATGATAATACACTTACTACATGTACATAAAATGTGGTCAAAGAAAGGTACAATTGAACATGGATTAGTCCAATCACTTACTAAAGGGATAGAGGCTATAACTATTCATCTGTGTAGGGGAGAAAATTAATCCAATTTTTTTAATTGAATAAATATTATGAACCTAAAGTAGTTACAGATGTCTATGTCAATACATATAGATGACACATGGTGTTAAAAAGCTCTATATTATTGTCTTTCTGTTGTTTCATCATCAGTCTTACCATTTTAGGAGAGCTCTAAGTACTGGGACTACAGACAGAAGGGAATTATTTAAATACCATCTCATTCCTATAGTACTAATTTTTTAAAGGACACATGTCTTCCTTTGTACATTTAGTAGAAGATACATGGAGATTTGGAAATTAAAATAAATTCATCTATTTGTGATCATCAGCAAATGAGTCATCAAGTTTCTTTTGATGTAATCTGGTTGGAATTTTTCTATGAAACGTTAAGAAACATAAAGTACAGAGCACAGGAATCTGGAGGTGTGTATGGCCCAGAAGACCTGTGCATTTTTTGCAACCCATCTAAACTATAGATGAATGTATCACATAAATTGATATTATCTTAAAAGCTATTCAGTATTGACTTTACTGGATAGAATTAAAAGGTTTAGCCAACTTGCTATGCAGAAAAAGAGGTTAAATCAATTCTTTTTCAGTGTTAATAAGATGTTAATAAGTGAAAGGAATATCTAATCATCCAAATAAACAAAAATTGGATTAGGAGGTCTCACAACCTAATAAATATTGCAACTCCTTCAGTATTCCAAAAGGCAGGTATTTTAAACAGCTTATCATCTAAAGGAAATAAATGTCCAGTATTGGAGTATTACAAGAATGATGCAGTGAAGGTCACAATTGTTTAGAAAGTCTATTTTAATTAAATAAGAGAATACTTATTACATGTAGTGTGAACAGAACAGACAGTCAGCTCTATGAGTTTGACCAAAAGAGGCAACTGGTACTATTTGCTTTGGGAAAACCAAAAGAAAAGAAAACATGAGAGATGCAGAGGACTGGTGGAAGGCTATGGAGAAAATAAGGACATCTTCTTTTTCTTTTACTAAAATATTTTTAAAAAATTTTTAGTTTTTTAAATTTTTTATTTAAATTCAATTTAGTTAACATATAGTGTATTGTTAGTTCCAGGGGTAAAATTTAGTGCTTTATCAGTTGCATATAACAAGGACTTATGTAATGTCACAGTGTCAGAGATAAATTCTTTCCAAACCAATATTAATCTTTGTTGCATTCATCTGAAAACTTCAAAGGAAAGAGCTAGAAGCTCTTTTGTTTAAGGGTAACTGAAATGTGACTTTTCAAAAGCAAGTGGAAAATTTAAATTCCCTTACTTTCATCCTCCCTATATTTGCTTTATAATAGTTAAACCCAGGAATCATTTACAAATTTGTACCACAAATCCAGTTCCCCGTGGGCTGACTCTTCCATCCTTTCGCAAATCACCACCCAAAAATACACATCTTTGAATCCCACGTTACCTGGCATGCCTATTGCCCTGGGTCAGTTCTTCTCCTCCCCCTTTCTTCAGTGGTTCTCCAGATGATTTCCTACCATTCTCAATATTCCGTCAGTCTTATAAATAGTTTTAACTAATCCAGGTTTCTCAACCTCATCAATATTGACATTTTGATCAGATAATTCTTTGTTGTGGGGGCAATTTTGTGCACTGTGGGATGATCAGTAGCATCCCTGACTGTTCCAACCCCCTTTGGAGGGACACCAGGGATACTCCAACCCCCATTGGGAAAACCAAAAAATGTCTCTAGACATTGCCTAGTGTCCCCTGGGGACAAAATTACCCCAAGATGAGAACTACTGAACAAACCCTAACCTCCACAACCTCAATAAACATCCACTCCCTATCAACCAGAAAGCCTCCTAAACACCTTCAGCATCTTGTTTTCAATTAAACCTCAACTGAGACACCTGACAGCTTCTCTTGTCAAAATGAAAGTTACCTCTGTCTGACCATCTGTGTGCTTTTAGTTTCCTTTTATTTGCTTATGCCTGGCCTTGTACCTAAAATGTGTCTTACAAAATAATGAGTGGATATAAAGTAAGTGAGGAAAATTAGGGAAAGGGAAAAATAAGGTAAAAACAAGATTAAGCCAGAAGTGATGCTAGGTTCAAATGACATAAACCCTTTTCTTGTCACTTCTTTTTCTTTGAATTCAGGGAGACTTGGATCTTTCCATGTTCTCCGAGTCTTGCTTGAAATTTAGCTTGGACACCAGCACCTTACTGTCTACATTTCTACAGCCTGTCCTTTCTCACTGCAACCTTCAATCCAAAGTAGAGTGGACCTTCTCTTCTCTTACACCCAGGCGCAAGAGTGCTCCAGGAGCAAATAATCCACTCTGCAGATTTATGGTTTTCTAATCCAAGTTAGCTCCTCAATAGCATCCACTAATCCTTCACTCTGACTACAGTCAGCCACTATTTCAAAGGTTTATCACCCCACTCCAGCCATACAATCTCCCCCCTTCATTCTCGGTGCACCTGTTATTTTAACAAGAAAATTGAGGTCATTGTGTGGAAACTACTTGTGCCTCCTTGCAATTCCCTCCAGCATCAAACAGCTACATCTATCAACATTCTTACTTTCTTTCCTCCTATCTTAAATGATCAGGAATCCTTTCTATTCAAGGCAAAGCCTGTGTTTGATTGTATTCCCTCTCACTGATGCTGAGGCTTTGGCCATTAGTTACTTCCTTTTTGTCCTTTATCTTCAACTTCTTCTCCCTTGCTCACTCTTTTCCTTCAACCTGTA